TAAAAACATATCAGTAATACATATGGAATTACGAGGTCAGTTCCATCGAACTTGGCGTTCTATGGCTTGGCTCTACCTATGGAAATGTAATATCCTCTTTACTTGAAAAACCTCATAGCCTTGGGATGCCAGCTCCCTTATTTTCCATGTGAAATTTGATCCTATCTTGACGTTCTAAGGTCATTTAAACCCCAAATCACAGAAGGGTTTATGAGATATAATCCTAAATGAAGTGACATGATTGTCTTGCGAATATGGATATATACAAGTGCTAAATTCTTTGAGATCATTAAAAAAATGTATTAGAATATGTCAAGGTAAGCTTATTCCAGATGGACATTTCAATCTAGATTATGAATGCATCTAGTTACAATCAACTTTTCTCAAAGTACAGCTAACTGGTATCGTTTCTTTAAAAGGATCAAAATCAGTCATACTTGCTCTAAGTTCAGGAATGTCTACCAAGCCTAAGTTAGTATGACCTAGAACTGCGTATTTTGAAGCCATCAGCTTCTGCAAGGAGAGAATTTGATCTAGCATTATTCAAAATAAGGCAAACTATGCTGTAGTAACAAATAAATCCCTAACGTCCCTGGCTGGATAAAGATTTAGTTTTCACTCATATTACCTGTTCATACAGGTCAGCAGGAACCCTGCACATAGTCAGGAACCCAAACACCTTTAGTTCTCTGCTGTTTCAATTTATAACATCCAGACTCACTGAAGCAGAAAAAAAGAGAGAGAGAGAGAGTGTGTGGCTAACTCACACCTCTACTAAATGCCTTGGGCTGGAAATGCTGCATTCACTTTCACTGCTGGCCCATTGGTCAGAATTAGGCACACTACCCTGCCTAACTGCAGGGGCTGGGAAATCTTTCCACATGCCCAGGGAGGAAAGGAGAGCACCAGATCGGGTAAGCAATACTAACCTCTATCACAGACCCAAAGAAAGACATCTCACAGCAAGTTCAAACAGTAAGTATGCGGAAGATGCTAAAACCTGGCTCATAATGTACTACAGATACATCCATGTTTGTTTTCCACAATGAACCACACAGCTCCATTTAAGCCACTGATAATACAATCTTGATTACGCTCTAAGGATTTTTTCCTGTACATGCCCACGCTCTTTACCTAAAAAGTTTTGCAAAATAGGGTAATAGAATTTCCACCAGCACAGTAGTTCCTCTTTCACTCAGGAGCCAGGTGGAAAACCTTAGGCCCGTCATTCAGTCAAACGCCTGTGGTTTGTAAAGGGCCCCGAGGCACAGCTGTAATGCTCTGTGCTGGAAACTGCAGGTCCACCAGGGCAGCTGCAAGCTCTTTCAGAGCCTCCATTTTAAGCCATCGCGTGGCCATTTCCCCCAAGAAGCAATATACACTGCAAAGTCATTCACAGCCCTTGCCACGGCGAGGCAGTTTGGGAGAGAAAATTGCTGTGTATCGGCTGGAGTTTTCAGATACTGGGGCACACTACTATTGCTATTTTGCACGGAGCACTCGGGCATCTTCAGACACATCTTAAATGATGAAAATGGTCAGAAGAGTTGTCAAATCATAGCTTCTGCCCACACCCAAATCCACTTAGGCTGGCTTTGTGGAGATCGGTTCTATAAACACCAAAGACTCAAAAGAGACAAGAAGCCATCAAACAGACAAAAAAATAGTGGTAAGAGAGCCAAAAGCAAGTTGAAAAACCAACAAATATTTATACCTGATTTATAGCAAAGGAACAACTCTGTCCCTAGGACCGAGGAAAATGATTGAGGCTCTCCTCCACCGCCCCACCCCCAAAGAATGCCTTATAAGACTCCGGGTTCAGCAGCTTCAGGCGATGGTTATTTTCCTTATAACCAATTAAAAACTTACGTTTAATTACTTTGAAGAAAAAAAGGAAGATCAGGCCTACCCTGGTGGCGCAGTGGTTGAGAGTCCGCCTGCCGATGCAGGGGACACGGATTCGTGCCCCGGTCCGGGAAGATCCCACATGCGGCGGAGCGGCTGGGCCCGTGAGCCATGGCCGCTGGGCCTGCGCGTCCGGAGCCTGTGCTCCTCAATGGGAGAGGCCACAACAGTGAGAGGCCCGCGTACCGCCAAAAAAAAAAAAAAAAAAAAGGAAGATCAAAATGTTGTAGCAGGACTCATTCTTAAGTCTTTTCCGAAGGCCTTAGTTGTTAACCAAAGAAGAAGGAATTTGCAAGGTAGACGTCTCCACACCCTAACTAAAAACACCTCAAATTGGTAATGCCTTAGTTTTTCTTCCTAAATAAGGGATACTAGTTTCTTACACACCACCCCCCATACAGCTGCTTTTTATTCCAGCTACCCACAGGAAGTTTCTACAGTCTTAAACGAGACCACTAAAGGTTGTTCCACAAATGAGCCCATGCTTGTCTCTCCCCTGAAATCCAGCTGTGCTCACAGGAACCGGGGGCCTTAAAGTGCATTGCTTTTGACCTTCTCCTTCCTAGAAGCAGTGTGTGGGCCACCCACTCTGTCCAGCGTACATAAAATCCTTACTCTTGAAATCACTTTTTCAGTCCCTTCAGTGCGGGTGTGTATGTTCCTGAGGCCCTGTTCTCGCAGCACACACTCTCACTGGGTGACGCCATCTACTGCCCTGACCTCTGAAACCTCAGATTATCTTTATGTTGATGACACTCAAAGTCTTGGCTACGTCCCCAGTCTGAGTTCGACATGTCCCCAACGGAACTCAACATCTTCCCCTCATTCTAAACATATTTCTAGAAGCCCTTTTTGTGTGGGGTTTTCAAGCCTACCTCTGCCAATAACTCTGGAGTTTGTTAAGAAACACAAAAGGGGGCTTCCCTGGTGGTGCAGTGGTTGAGAGTCCGCCTGCCGATGCAGGGGACACGGGTTCGTGCCCTGGTCCGGGAAGATCCCACATACCGCGGAGCGGCTGGGCCCGTGAGCCATGGCCGCTGAGCCTGTGCTCCGCAACGGGAGAGGCCACAACGGTGAGAGGCCCGCATACTGCAAAAAAAAAAAAAAAGAAACACAAAAGAGACAAAATGAGTAACGGGAGCCAGGGTGAGTGCCAAGAGATTCAGATTTCATGTGTGACATTTGAAAGAGGAGATAGGAAAGCAACCTGGAGAAATTTCCTGTGCTGGGCTCCAGCTGTTTACTGGCCCTTGGCCTCTGAAAATGGTTATTGGAGTTGACAAAGAAGAGAGGGCAGAAAAACAAAAAAAAAGAGGGCAAAGATTGTGGTGTGTGTGTGTGGGCAAAGATTGTGGGGGGTGTGTGTGTGTGTGTGCGCGCGCGCGTGAGAGAGAGACCTGCCGGTTGACATCGATGAAGAGTCTCTCCTTCTGAAAGTGAGCATATATCTAGCCTGGCTCCCCTGAGACCTCTTCTTTATTTTTCTAATTTTTTAAATTGAAGAATAGTTGATTTACAATGTTGTGTTAACTACTGCTGTACGGCAAAATGATTCAGTTATACATATATTCTTTTTTTATATTCTTTCCCATGATGGTTTATCATAGGATATTGTATAGGGTTCCCTGTGCTAGACAGTAGGACCTTGTTGTTTATCCATTCCATATAGAAAAGCTCACATCTGCTCACCCCAGCCTCCCAGTCCATCCCTCCCCCAAATCCCTCCCCCTTGGCAACCACCAGTCTGTTCTCCATGTCAGTGATTCTGTTTCTGTTTCATAGATGGGTTCATTTGTGTCGTATTTTAGATTCCACATATAAGTGATGTCGTATGGTGCTTGTCTTAGTATCACATGGTGCTTATCACTTAGTATGATAATCTCTAGTTGCATCCATGTTGCTGCAAATGGCATTATTTCGTTCTCTTTTATTGAGCACTCTTCTTGACCAGGCCTCAACCTTGGCCGATAAAAACTGCAGACTCTCAGTACAACTGATTTGATCCACCTCATCCTACCCCCACATTAAAAGACTTGAACAAACACAAACCTAGTTTCTAGGTCAAGGCAGCATCCAGAGAATGACCTCCTAAATTCCTATCTGGGAAAGCACAAGGTTGTCAAAAGAATTTACTGTTTGTTCCAGCTGACACTTGAAGATAGAGCCCCTGTTGTCCAGTCTCTGAGGGAGGATAGAAGTCAAACTTCCATAAGTGCCAGTTAGCAAACCCAGAGGACTTTCACATGGATCAACCCCCCTTCCTGCTTTTTACAAATTTCCATTCCCTGGACCTGGCTCAAGTAGTGGCAATCCCTCATACCTACTCCCTCACTCCCTTTAAAACATCCAGTCACCTCTGTACAAATCGAAGTTGAGTTCAGTTCATGCTGAACTCTCTTCTCTATTGCAACAGTTCATCACTGATTAAAATCTGTCCACCTTAATTTGTGTCCAGTGGTAGCATTTTCAGCAATATACACTCTGACATCCTGGTGGATCTGATTCCCGAGGTCGATGTGGCAGTTAGTAGGGTGACTGTCTCCAAGAAATGGTCTGTGGACAAGAGGAGGACAAAAACTGACCAAGTGATGGTTGGATGTGATGGAGGAAAGTAACGCTCAGATGAAGGCATTGGGGTGACATGTTTTAAAGAAAGACTATTCCCAACAGGGGGAACATTTGGATTCTCAGAACTTTTTTGAAGATATTCTTCGTGGTAAGGATGTTTAAATACAGGCGTGTTGTGGTCTCATAAACTTATTCTCATGACTTTTCTCTTTTCTGCTTAAAAATATACTGTTTTCTAAGCCTTTAATTTGTTTCTACCCACAAAAAACAATAACTTTGATGAAAATTAGTCTCATGAGTTCTCATGCACACAAAAATGTTAACTAAGAAAATTTATTATATTACTTGATTTAGGACTATGACTTCATTCATACAATCAGAATTTCTTTGTTTATTCTTTAGCCATGTTCTGGCCTTTAATGTTTGTCTCTTTGACAGTTATACACGCAGTTTTATAATTTAACCATATGCCTTAAAGGTCCAGAAAGTAAACTTAGATTAAGACAAATAAGATAAAACAGACAGTAAGATACTCAACAAATTTACTTAGTTCCATTCATTTAGCATCAATGCATAACACATTCCAAAAGCGAGCATATATCAAATTTAAAATGGATAACCTTAATTGGGTTCAATAATCGGATAAATGGTCAAACAGTTTTCATTGCATATGCTTTGGGCCATGCATTTCATTCCTTAAGGATCTGCTTTATTGAATTAACATATCAATTATTTATTTTGATAAGAACAGGGAAGATAGTCAGAGGAAGAAGCAGCAGTGGTGGAGAACACGCCTCTTGCTGCTGCACAGAAACACATATGGCAGGTGACGACACCAACAGCTAACTCCTGGAGAGACCTAAATGGCTTGTCTTGGCACGTGTGGGTAAGTACAATGTTTACTAATCTAAAAAACGAGAAAATATTATAAAAATATAAGAAGTAGAAAACCCTAGACAAGTTAAAATACAGAAAAAATTTAAGCAAAGTTATTTGAATCAGGCAATTTTTAAAGTATCAAATAGTAATCTTAATAACTAGGTATAAAGTAATCTAAACCCAGGACACTAACCATGTCGAAAGGCAGTAGGCAGCCTGACCTCCCCAGAATGCTTTGCCAGAGTTAGTGTTCTCTGATTACACACTTAGGCACCCCTGGTTACAAGAGTACTTGTTTATTATTGATATTATAAAAATAACCATTCTCTAAATGATTACACGTAGTAAATAAAATTAGAACTATACGTAAGGATTTGAATAATGCCATTTCTTTAAGGACCACTTGCAACTTCTCCTGCCTGCTTCACAGACCTGTAAGGCAGAAAGAAAACAGACGAAGATGTGCTTAATGATGAATCTATAGCACAGCATGTTCAAAAGAAAGACTGGGATTTTAATGCTTTCCTATACTCCATCTGAACCTTTACAGTGACACTGATCTTAGAGTACCACCTCTATATACCATATTTTACTGCCATTATATCAACTTCTGGTATCTGTATAAAAGAATTTTTGCATATATAATGCACAAAAATATCTTGGGCTGTTAAAATAGATTGGCTTGTCTCCAAATATGGCCAATGAGAAATACCTGCAAGGTATGTACACAATTACTCTCCCGGAAGGAATTATGAAACTGAATTGAGAAAACTAGAGCAGCATAAGGTGGGTCAGGCTGCATGTGTCCTACTTCAGAACTGGAACTACTTGTCCATACAGCTTGATTAGAAAAAACTTATTTTTTCCTAGAAAAATATGACTAGGATGGCAAGGGGATATGTCCACACTTCAAGAATACGTTATGTGGAGCTTCAAGATGGCGGAGGAGTAGGACGCGGAGATCACCTTCCTCCCCACAAATACATCAGAAATACATCTACACGTGGAACAACTCCTACAGAACACCTACTGAACGCTGGCAGAAGACCTCAGAACTCCCAAAAGGCAAGAAACTCCCCATGTACCTGGGTAGGGCAAGAGAAAAAAGAAAAAACAGAGACAAAAGGATAGGGAAGGGACCTGCACCAGTGGGAGGGAGCTGTGAAGGAGGAAAGGTTTCCACACACTAGGAAACTTCACTGGCAGAGACGGGAGGGTAGGTGGGGGGGAAGCTTCAGAGCCGCGGAGGAGAGCACAGCCAACCCTGCCAACTCCTCTCTCTCACTTACTCCTTCAGGTCTTAAATATCACTTTCTCAGGGCCCTGTGCCCAGTAGTCAAGCTAGGATCCCCCTGCTGCATGCACTTATCTCAAACTAATGCTTATATAATGATAATCATCATTATTGCATGTAAGTAATATTTATAGTGTGACTTCATCATCTAGTAGCTTCTGTCACCTGTGACAGTGATGTGTCCTTCTCTGGCACAGTTCCTGACTCACTGGAGGCCTTTATTTAATATAAACCACATGAATGATTTACTCATTTTGATCTCTTAGTCTGAAGGGCAATATGCCTGTATGTCATGCAAAGAACATTTGAAGGACTAAGAAAGAGAACCACATGATCTTTGCGCTCCTGCAATGGTACCGTTATGACGTAGAAGAGGGATACAATTTTTGCTTGTGATACAAAAAAAACAGAACTAGAAAGAAGGAAGCTATGAAGATTCAGATTTTGGAGCAAACTAGGAAAGTAATTTCTTTTAAAGTAGCTTTTAAACATTTTGTACAACATCAGAAATTCACGTGTTTTTTGTTTTTTGTTTTTGGTCACCAGGCTGTACATTACGTCCCCAGGACGTATTTATTTTACAACTGGAAGTTTGTACCTTTTGACCACCTTCATCCATTTTGCCCACCTCCTGCCTCTGGAAACCACCAATCAGTTCTCTGTATCTATGAGCTTGGTGTTTTGTTTAGATTCCATGTGTAAATGAGATCATATGGTATTTGTTTTTCTGTCTGAGTAGTTTAACTTGGTATAATGCCCTCAAGTTCTGTCCATATTGTTGCAAATGGCAAGATTTCATTATTTTTTATGGTTAAATAATATTCCATTGTGTGTGTGTGTGTGTGTGTGTGTGTGTGTGTGTACCACATTTTATTTATTTATTCATCCATTGATGGACACTTAGGTTTTTCTGTATCTTGGCTATTGTAAATAATGCTGCAATGAACATGGGGGTGCAGATAGCTTTTCAAGACATTTTTTTTAGCCATCCAGACAGTATTCTGCAGATGTAAATACAGTTGACCCTTGAACAAGATGGGTTTGAACTGCGCAGGTCCACTTACATGTAGATTTTTTGCCATAAATACACACTACAGCATTACACAATCCACGGTTGATTGACTCCACACATGTGAAACCTCAGATACGGAGGGTTGACTGTGAAGTTATATGCGGATTTTCACGTAGAGAATTGTTGCCCTAACTCCCACGTTGTTCAAGAATCATCTGTATATGATTGTGTATGTGTCTATGCATTATATATAACAAAAAGAATTGTATCTAGTATACTGTCTTGTGACTCACTTTTTTATGTAACAATATTGTAAAAACTGTTTCCACATCAAAGTATATATCAATATAGATAGATGGATTCAGTTAATATCAGTACAAATCTATGTATATATCGAGTTAATATATATCTCATTCTTTATAACAGGTGCACATTATTCCATTATATAGATTGCTGTAATTTTTTAAAATCAGTCCTCTTTTGTTGGCCATTAGGTTGTTTCCATTTTTTACATTTTCCAAGTTTTATTATAAATCAGTTTCCAAGTTTTATTATAAAACATGTGCAGTGAGCATAATAATATTCTGATAACTACACAGCATTGAGGAAATTATTTCTTTAGGTGATTTCTTAATACAGAATGATTGGGTCACTGAGCAACTAGAGCAGAGCACAGGCGGTGGTGTACTCGCATTACTCAAGGTGCCCATACAGAAGCTAGTGAACTGTTTGGTGGGGTTATTGCAGAGAAGAGACGAGCGTGAGATGGGAAGAGACGTAGATGGTTCTCAAATTCTTTCTTATTTTGATATCTTATGATTCTATGAGTGCTAAGGGCACACTCGACCCTTTACTTCCCTCTGTAACATGCTTGAGAGAAGATACTGAGAATTGTTCATCTTTATATATCCAGCCCATAGAGTAACCTCATGTCCACGGATGTGGAATTGTTTTGAGATGCTGTATCTCTAAGACATATTTAACGGTGTCATAGAGTCCATGGTCTGCACAAAGGGGGGTATATGTTCTCATCTCACATGTATCTAAAAGTAATTTTCCTGCTATAGGAAGAAGGGGATTGAAATCCTCTTCCCACTTCCTCAGCACAAAAGACTACATACTCAGTGAGGGGCCTGAGATCCATGAAAATCACAAAAACAAAGAGAAAACATCATGCAGAGCAGCTGGAGGAAAATCCTTTTCTCATTATAGGTCACGAGGACTATGTATTTAAAAAAAATCTGAACTTCAAGTAGTTGCAAGTGGTGTCCGTCATTACCTGACATTGACATTAAGTGCCCTGAGCAAACATACCAGAGTAGACGAGTGCAGGACAAGAAGAGCATGGAACACAAAGAAGAAGATCAGCAGAACCTGCACAATGAAAGGAAAAGAGGTCATGTGCTGGACCAGGAAAAAAAGTCCATCAAACGCAATTCCCTTGCGGTTTGACCAATTTCTAATGAGGATTAACTGAAATTAATATCGAAGCTACATTCAGAGTATATAGTGACTGCAGTGACACACCAGTTAACTGTTTAATAGTGTGTATGTTCTCATTTCATAATTCAGTCATTTCAATTTAAACTTTTTCTGATCTTAAATAAAAACTAGGGCAAAATGCCCCTCCAGATAGTGTTATGAATATATACGTGGATTGCAGGAAGATCCCATCTAAATCACAGTCATAATTTTTACGTCCAGCATGGGTTTGGCAGGAAAGTCATGCTCTACAGACTGCTACCATAACACAGAATATTCAGGATTGGATATATACATGTCACATATTGTGATGCTATAACATTTGTAATTTAACGTAATTGTCACAAAATTATTATGAGATTTGCATGAAGTAGTGCATATTTACATGTATACTATATATATATATATATATATACATATTTTTGTGTGTGTGTGTGTGTGTGTGTGTGTGTGTGTGTGGTACGCGGGCCTCTCACTGTTGTGGCCCCTCCCGTTGTGGAGCACAGGTTCCGGACGTGCAGGCTCAGCGGCCATGGCTCACGGGCCCAGCCGCTCCGTGGCATGTGGGATCTTCCCGGACCGGGGCACGAACCCGTGTCCCCTGCATCGGCAGGCGGACTCTCAACCACCGTGCCACCAGGGAAGCCCCTACCCTATATTTTTAATGCTTGGTGCATAATATTAAACACTAAATGTAATTCCTCTGAATGCATCCCTGAGGCAGAAGAGCAGTGTGTAGTAGGACAAGGGGACATGAGTATTCTAGTTAAAAAGAGCGGGGAAATAAAACAGAAGATCAAAGAAAGTGAAATAAGGGCGTCAAGGGAGATAAACCTTCACATTTTTTGAAGAGAAAGGAAATAGATTAAGCCCAAGTTTTCCAAAGCAGCTCTTGGAACACTAGTCCTACAGGCTGTTAATATAGATGATCCACAAACAGACGGTTCCTTGATCAAAGACTTTTCAACAGCAATATACCATCGGCCTCTTGGAGGATCAAAATACACACCAGCATATTAAGGGCGCTTAGAAGTCTTATAACAAAGAGACCTTTTTTACCTGATCTTTATCGAAGTTATTTGATAAGAGATTTTTATATAACTCACTTGAAAAAATTCTTCAATGGTAAATACTGCTTCAGCTAGAGTAAAGAGACATGGCAATGCAACGTCTGTTTCACCAAATTTAGAGGCAAGATATAAAAGCATGGGTTTTGTACTCAAATTGACCTGAGTTCAAATTCTGGCTCAACCCCTTCTCATACACATGACCTTGAGCAAGTTAGCATCGCTCAGCATCCTCCACAGAGGAGAGTTATAAAGGGAAACACCCTTGGAAGTATCATTAAGCATTTGGTATTTGACAGTTTTAGAAAATTCAAATTTAGATGAATAGGAACTACAACAACATTTGGATTCAAGGTGGTGATTTTATATGTAAAGTAGATGCTGAATGAAGTTGGAGAACTTGGTAAAATTTTAGAAATCTTACACATAGAGGGGCTTTGAGTAAAATAATGATGTATTCACATTTGAATGTCCTTTACCACCCAAAGATATTAGAGGTTCTGGCAAGAAAGCAGTTGAATTAATGCTCTATATTAGTGGTTCCCTTAAATTTTAAGTGTATCAGAATCACCTGGAGGGCTTTTAAAACAAATTGTTACTTCCCTTATGGTACAGTGGTTAAGAATCCGCCTGCCTATGCAGGGGACACGGGTTTGATCCCTGGTCCGGGAAGATCCCACATGCCATGGAGTAACTAAGCCCGTGCACCACAACTACTGAGCCTGTGCTCTAAAGCCAGTAAGCCGCAACTACTGAGCCCATGAGCCACAACTACTGAAGCCCATGCGCCTAGAGCCTGTGCTCTGCAACAAGAGAAGCCAGCACAATGAGAAGCTCGTGCACCGCAACAAAGAATAGCGCCTGCTCGCCATAACTAGAGAAAGCCCGTGTGCAGCAGGGAAGACCTGACACAGAAAAAAATAAATAAATTTATGAAAAACAAAAACAAAAAGAATTAGCACAGATCACTGGAGTCCACTATTAGAGTTTCTGACTGAGTAGATGTCGGATGGGGCCAAGGAAACTGCATTTCTTACAAGTTCCCAAGAGATGAACATCACTATTCTACGTAGCACGGACTTTAGGTTGAAGCATGAAGCCAGCTGTGGTCTGGCATACTTGAAGAAAAAGGAGTAGTGAAGTGTCTGGGTACCAAAGGAAGACTGAAGTGTGAGTTTAGTGGGAAATAGAGAATCTGAAAGGTAGAAGGTTTGGGTAGATTGTAGATTATAGTAATCTAAGATCTTAGAGTAGGATGCTACTTCACATTTGATGAGGAAAAAAATTACACTTCCTTAGAAGAGCACTAGACTTGAGAGGGCCAAGGAATTTTAATGGTAGGACATTGGATAAATACCCCAGATGAAAGTTAAAATTTCCTAATGCTAAGAGTGTGGTAGAGAGGAAACCAATGAACCAAATGTCAGCACCCCACATGAAAAAACAGCAGTGACTGATGAGATTATAGTGACAAGGAAAGACACAGGACAACAGGACAAATGGCATAAGCCTAAAAAGAAGGAGAATTTCAGGTAGAATATTAATGTTATCTCACGGTGCTTGACACGTGGCAACTGGAAAGAGCAGCTTTCCCTGGTGAAGGCTAAAAGGGAAGCAATGTCTTCTAGGAACCATTTCAAATAAGGCAAAAAAGGCATGGAGAGTGTTCTTTGAGTAGCACTGAAGAATGATCAGTTTGCAAATCAGATTCCTGTTCCATAGGCCACAGTGGAAAGATCTGGGAAATATGTCAACAGCCGTTAAGAATACAAATACATGAGAAGATTTTATTTTGATAGAGGCAGTGGGGCAAGGCAGAGTAGCCAAGGACAACAGGAATAAGAGACAGAAGTAACCGATCTCAAGTTTCTGAACTGAACTTTGGCATAACCTTCTTGTATGGCAACTGACTTAGGTGTCCAGCCTTAGTGAAGCAGGACTGCCCGTACAGGGGGTAGCCCATTATTCCCCATAATTGTGGGAATGTAAGAAATGAAGCAGCTTTGGTGGGGGAAAGAACAAGCAACGAGAGAGTAGCCATAAAGTCTAGATAAACAAGATCTTAATAAAGATAAGAGTTTTGCTTACAGATGAGAACCCTCTTCTTTCTTCCTGAGTGGTTTATTCAGTGCAAAACGGCAACACAAATGCCTGAGGCAGTGCATCACACATGCGTGTGCAGGGACTGACGTAAATGCTGTGTGAATGCACCATATTCACTTTAACTCTGATGGAACCATCGTTACTACAGAGGAACAACACACTGAACGTATTCAACGTCGTTGAATGTATCGTGTTTTGCTGTGTATACCAATAAATCATTTGTTATACACATCTGTCTGTGTTTGAGAGACATTATGGGCTCTGAATAATCAGAAGAGGAGACTGAGGCTTGGCCGCTGCTCAAGTAATCTTCGAGTCACTTACCCGGTTTGAACTACATTCATTCATTCATTCATTCGTTCAATTCATTTAGTAAATATTTATTAAGTAAATACTGAATGTATAAATATTTATTAAGTAAATATGTGTTGAACACTTACAGTGTACAATAAGAATAGTAAGACTAAATTTTCCCTAACAGCTTAATTTTTGGGAATTAAATATGTGGAAGCAATTTATAAATTATAAAGCCTTATATAACTAGCAGAAACTTTCAGAACATCATTTTAAATGTTAACAAGTGGATAAACCTTTATGTACTAATATGAAGGGGAGTCATGTATAATTTATGCTTATGAATATAGAAAAAGCTATGTTTTTGGTCTGAAGAATGTTTAATTATACTAAAGTTGATATACAGTTTCGGGATATTTAGTCAACATTTCAAAACAAATCATTCTGAAGAAATCTGGCAGCATGCTTTGAACAGTTGTTCTATTTTTAATAGCATACTATGGGATTGAAAACATGCTTAATGTAATTACTAAATGTTATTTATTTTATTCTGTCAAAATTTTAATTTTTATGTTTATCATATATGCCGCCTTTAATTTTCTGGATGACTTTGCCTATAGAGAATAATTTGGAGCACAGTGTAAAGATAAGTATATCAAATTGAAGTTTATATTAAAAGCAGATTTCCTACCCAAATGTATTACTGCTTGTTTCTTTATATGTCACTTTTTCTTATTTTCATGTTTTATAGTGTTTTCTTTATGATACAAATTCTTTCAGTGCTCAGTGAAATAATTCCTTTCTTGATACTATATATACACACATTCCCTCCCCCTCCCTCCTTTTTTAAGCTTTTAGAAATGCAATGACATTTCCGAGTAGAACATATGGCTTTGGATTAAGCTAGAATTAAATTGCACTTACTAATTATATATCCTTGGGAAGAGGTTTTTAACAAATCTGAGTTTGTAAAATCAGTAATACCACCTACACATCAAGTTGACACAAGAATTAAAGGAGATACTACATAGCACATAACAACAAAAATGTAATAAATGTCAGTCCTCTTCCATTCTCTCCTTTTTTAGAGATACATATGTTTCTATATAAGCCTTAAAATGTCAATTATTCATAGTAGGCTTTAAGGAGAAACTGAATGCTGTAATTCTAAATATATCCCCCAAATAGACTTTGTAGTTTTATTTATGTTAGGCTATGTGTCAATTTTCCCAATTTATTATTAAATTATATATATATATATATTAGCATATATGCTAATTCTCTCAGTGAAAAAGATTTATTATGCCACATTTTTGAAATTCTGTGCTTAGAACTCCTAGTCTATCTTCATATACCCTCCTTATTATGCCTACCCAAATAGTTTCTTAAGCTACAGTGTCTATTTTCAGGCTAGGATTTCTTGCCAGA